AATTGTTGTTTTAAAAGCGTTTTAAATTCATTTTAATAATAATTTTGATAATACGAAAGTAGTGGATTTCAATCTGTCAGCAAGCAGAGTTAATCCCTGAAACTATCAATAGTTTAATCCACATGCGATTACCTACTTGAGAAAAATGTTTGTTGTGCCATCTGTTATACAGAAATCAAATAAACTAGTTTCAAATTTATTAAATGTTACATTAATTTAAAAATATTATTTATTTATTTATTTATTTCTGTGGCGCATCCGCTTGTCATTCCTTTACGTATGATTTTTATTTATTTATTAAATTCAAATATTATTTATTTATTTATTTATTTCTGTTTTAGAGAAGTTATCCGAGAGAAATGTTTTCGTAATATTTCTATTTTATTTTCGACCCAAGATGGGAGGAGTATATGTTGGAAACATACGCCAATCTCTCAGTTTCAGTCTAACAATATAGATCTAAATCGATAAGAATTTTATATTTGGAATGGAGAAATATCCGTCGCAAATCTGAAAGAATAATAAATAGCCTGAATAGCACGCAACAGAATATTCAGAGCGTTTGAAGCATCAAACCTGTAATCATTTTGAATAATTTAGCGTGCTGGAAAAACGTTTCGAAGACGTTATCGTATTGTAAACATTTTAAATAAGTCGTACATAAAACAAAAAAAAAAAAAAAAACATGCATTTAAATTTGTATTTAAAATTGTTTTTCTAGGAAAATATGCTTTCGACAAAATTGCATGAAACAATATTAGCTTTATGATAAAGAAAAAGCTTATATTAGCATTCTATACTTTGTCTGTCCGTAAGCGTTAGATGAATATCTCGAAAACTGAGGAGACTTAAAATTTTTTAAATAGTTTTAGAGGCCCAACGTACTCTCTCTTTACCAAGTTTGGTAAGATTAGACAAGTCAGGCATTCATAAGGTTTTTAAAATACTGAGCAAAATCTCACTGTTGCAATCTTAAATTTTCGATTTTTTAAATTTATTTCTATTGAAATTCAAGCAGTTAAATTATATTAAAAATAAACAACAAATTTTTATTTTGAATAAAAAAAAATGAGGGGGGATACTTCAACACATCTTAACTTCGATCAAATATGCTGACAATTCCAAAGTATCTAACATAAATTCTTTCATGTGTACGGTAATATATTTTATATCTACTTGAATAGGCTAAAAGATGTTTTCATAAATTTAATGCATAATAAAAGAATAACATAAGACATTTATAAAATTTAAAACACGAAAACATAAGTTATAAAAATAACTTTTAAAAAATTTTTCCAACAAAATAATTCTGAAAAGCAAATAATATATTAGAAATTAATGTAGAATACTGAAATGTTAACTTCAATACATTTTCATTTTAAAACAAAAAGAAATTCTTTCTATGTTTTAACGAAATTTTACAATAATAAAATTGTATTTTTACTAAAAAATAATATTTCTCCTCTTCTAAAATTATTTAATTTAGTTACAATTCTATACATTCTAAGAATACTGTTTTTTTTTTTTTTTAAATCAAATTGTTGTTTTAAAAGCGTTTTAAATTCATTTTAATAATAATTTTGATAATACGAAAGTAGTGGATTTCAATCTGTCAGCAAGCAGAGTTAATCCCTGAAACTATCAATAGTTTAATCCACATGCGATTACCTACTTGAGAAAAATGTTTGTTGTGCCATCTGTTATACAGAAATCAAATAAACTAGTTTCAAATTTATTAAATGTTACATTAATTTAAAAATATTATAAAGTATGGAAATAATATAATGCTGTTGAGTTGAATAACAGCTTTGATAAAAATATATATTAACCCAATTGAGCGCACAGATTTATATAATGAATGTAAAACTCTTTTAAAAGCATTTTTAAATAGTTCGATATCGAATAAGTTTAAAATGTTATTGATTTTTAACATTGTTATTTTTAATATCGTAAGCAAAACTCAATTTTCAGAGGAATCTATAACTAGAAATGAATATGTTAAATTAAGTATAACAATAATGTTTTTTATTTTAATATAAAAACCTTAATTAATATTCCAAATTAAACGTCTCGGATAAAATTACAACCTTTAACACTAGATTACCTCATTTTTATTGGGTCTTCTATTTTAGGATTAAATTTTAATTACTGTATTTGCAATTCATAAGTTTATAAATTAATTTAAAATCATTAACAGACAATCATTAATTAATTAATAATCATTTGCAAACGGATATTTGTCTCCTTAATACGGCTTTCGTTTGAAAAATGATTAGGTCTGTTATGCTTCTTACCGTCTTTCACTTAGATGATTTGAAATATAAGAATATATTTTTCAATAATAATAAAATCGTCTTTAAAAAAAATCAAAAGACATTTTCTAACGAAAATAAATCCATTCTTCAAGACTCGAATCTTATTTTAAAGATCTTTCTGGATTTTAAGACAGAGTAATTTCGAAGAATCTACTTTTTTAAAAATAAAATATATATATTAGACGTTCGTACTAAAAACTAATTACACGAAAACTTTTATATTTTACGGCTTACTCAATCAAAGATTAATTAAATTAAAATTTTTTTCGAGAGACTATTTTGATGAACTTCATAACTATTAAATTCTAATCTTTCCTTATTTTAAAATAGAATATCGATTTACTTCTTGTAATTTGAGAACACCTCTACTTAAATCTGTGGTAGAATTATCAAATATTCCTTTTCTTCCCGATATAAAATCTAATTGAGACTTATCTTACAACTAAAGATAGCCATAACTTATATATTTAATTCCAAGAGAATTACAATAATATTTTAAAATTTAAAAACGTTATCTTCTTCTTTCATCATTTATGCATTTATATTATAAAAACGTTTATAAAAAGTTTTATAGCTTTAATAATTAAATGGGCGAACTTTTGTTTCGCTGAAGACTTTTTTCATTTTATTAGTTCCTTCAACTCTCCGTTTCTTCAACATTTTTATTAGCTCCTTTTCGAGATGAAAGAGGGATCTCCGGATATTAGTAAAGTACATTTTTGATCAACTTTTATGTCGGGAGTAGAATACGGTGTTTTAAAATTGCAACATTTAGAAAATTGGATTTCGTGGATACTTTATCGTAAAAAGTATAGCTGCTCGTAAAACTTCGGAAAAAAGAAGAACGAAAAACTTAATTCGCATTGCTTTACTTAAAAAAAAAAAAAAAAGCTACTATATTAAAGAAAGGGAGAAGGAATATCTTTTGTTACTTCAACAAATGTAGAACGATATCTTAGCGAGCTTCAATTTTAGTACAGACTCATTAATTACTCTAAGTATTTAGATTTCATAAGATAATTAATCAATCAATCATCAACGATCAATAAAAAATGAAGAAATTTTATGACTTATCACTCGAATAATTTCAGTAATTGAAGGGGGAGAAAAAAGCTATTACTTCAAAAAGTACTCATTAAATTGTTAAAACTCTCGCAATTTTTCTTAGAAATGTTACAATTTCCTTTCACAAAAAACAAAACAAAAAAAGAGTCGAACAAATTCATTTTATTTTCTTCGATTTAATTTTTAAAATCGTTCAAAACATAGCGATTGAATAACGGATGACGACGATGTTTTCGCTTCCAAATACAACTGTTAATTTATCGTACAATGAATTAAATATGACGCACTTCCTCTTAAAACAAACAGTTACATCTGGACTTTAGCCAAAAGGTTCTTCACTTACTACGGAAGTATGTTGTTATTCCTATATCAATTCATTCGATTTAACATTTTTCGAATTCGAATTTCTTTCGAAGGTGGACGAAAAAATTAAAATATAACGAATTCTTCCACCAAAGACTTATCGTTATTTATATAAATTGCGTGTTTAATTTAGATATTATTTTAAATTATATTTCCTTGTTGGATAATTTCAGCTGTTTAACTGACTGTGACCACAATTCATTTTATCAAACAAACATTATAAAAATGTGACAAAATATCGATAAAAATAAAAATTCGCTGTTCAAATATTTGCAAAAACTTATTAAAATATTTCGTCCTTATATTTACATCTTAAAACATTCATTAAATCAACGCTTTGACATTATATAAATATTATAATAGATTAAATTGGATTTCTGAAAACTGTTTCTATTGCATATAACTGATATTGGTTTTTTTTTTTTTGAAATTTTGTTTCCAACAGTATAAACAACAAGGCACTTTCTGCAGAAAATCGCATAAAATTTTCGTTTATAAAGTTAAGTTATTTATGTCTGCGAGTGTTCCATAATAAATTGATGTTCTATCTGCATCTATTTACTTGGAAATAATCACATAAAATTGCTTAAAATAATACTTTTTTTAAAAAATAAAAATTGCAAGAAATACGAGATATTTGTGAATAATTTATATTGATTTATTTTAGTTTTGTCTTATTTTTTCGAATTAAATTTTACACAAAATATATAATTGACTAATTAATTTATCTTATTTTTGTTACAATTGTTACTTTGCATTATTAATTAAATTTCTATATATAGATTATATTTTACATTCACTCTTCTAAAACAATATGGTTCAATTTATGACTCGTGCAGTTTTTTTGGGGGTTCCCTTCCATACCGGATTTTTAAATAATTTCCGAAATGTTTGAGGAATTCTAACGATGATTTCATAATTTATTACTCCTGAACGTCAGGGCATAGCCTATAATTAATACTGTACGTCCTGAAATCGCAAAAAGCGTTGGAACACCCTGCTCTAAATAAGAAACCGGAAAGTATAATTTGACAAATTGGCGTTAAAATAGACTTTTTTTACGATCAATACTTTATCGCTTCTAATATTAATAGGTATCTATTTATTTTGGACGAAAATATTTTGCCCTCCCTGAAATTTCTAGGGAAAGCGATTTGAAAGTTAGCGGAAACCAGAGGCGCGGTTTCCTTGAATGTGTTAGGATGTTAATGCCCAGCATTTAGTAGCATATAAATTTAAAATCTTTTTTTTTTCCAGTGTCTCTTCGAAGAAGAGTTTCTGATGACAATGGAAGTCGACTTATTATGATGCTAATCAACGTCTGGTGGACGGTGATTGCACTGATTCTGCCTCTGTGCTCTGTCAACAGTGAACCAACCTGCCTTGAAAATAATGGTAACTATCAATAGTTGTTGAATTTTTTCAAATCAGTTTCATCATTAAAGCAGTTATATAAACTGGCTATAATTTTAAAATTATATAAATAATATAAACCTGATTGTATTTTAATCCAGTCAGGAAAATGAAGATAATGAAGAATGATTACAAGATTTTTATCATTATTGTATGTTATATTAATTATTTGACAATGATTATCAAAAATATTCTGTATATTTATTCAGTGGAATTGCTTCTAATGGTTCCAGTATCCTAATTTTATGTTGAAATACTATTGCATCAATATTGAAAATATTGATTTCATTACTTTTTATTGAGACACTAAACAAAATGCACTAGTATGCTGACATATTTGAAGCAACAGGATGTTTTTGCTACTAAAATTAATTAAAATATTTTTATTATAATAATAATAATAAGTTGAATCATACTTATTGTTAAAATATCTTTTTAAATAATAAATTCATCTTGTTTTATTTCTTGCATTTTCATATTCAAAAAACTTTACGAATTTACAACGAACTTATCAAATTTAATGATAATTTTTTATAATAGTCATTGAAATAACTTCATATTTTAAATAACAGGGTCATTCTAACAAAATGTATCATTTCATCATATTTTAATATCTTAATATAAAATTTCTAAATACAAAGCAAATACTCATGTACACATGCAGACACAGTATATTTTATAGTCATTAGTTATTACATATATTTATAAATTCTATTGGTAAATCCAATATTTATAAGGGATTCATTACACAACATTATATAAAATTTATTTTCTCATTATTTTTATTATTTTGTTTTATTGATTTATGAAAACAATGTTTAATGTTTATAAGTAATGATAAGTAAAAAATTTGATATTGAAAAAGTTTACTAATATGTAATAAAAATTAAATGATTATTTTAAATTATATTTTATTAATAATGATATGTATTTTTTCATCTAGTCAATGTAGCTCCTACTAAAGTTTTCTATGTTGGAAGGGATCTTAATATTACTATAGAAGTAAGCAACAGGGTTACACATAAATTAGTATCACAAATTTTGATCATCTTATTAAAAGAAGTTCTAGGATATGCAGATGTTCGTTTGGTTTCCACTGAAGGAGGGAATTCTATCTCAACTTTACAACAGATATCTGGTTGTAAAATCCCAGAGTAAGTTTTTTTTTAACTGTTTGCATTAAATTTTCCTGCGATTACTTAAAATAATTTCACAATCTTATATTTCTAGAAAATGTCCAGAGAAATCAAAAAACTTTGTACCAAATATTATGATAAATGTTGAAGTATGGCTGGGACCAGGAAATAGCACTGAAAAATGGGTTCAAACAGGAAATGTAGCAGACTGTGGTCCTTTGGGACCAATTGGAAGGTATAAGAATCACATACTAGATTTATTTTTAACTTTTAATAAAATCTAATTTCTGATTTTATGTTTGCATTAACAGGACTGGTTGGTACCTATCATTGTCTTTTGTACATAAATTATGGCAAGAAAATAATACTATTCTTGACCATTGGAGAGCTTTCCAGAAGGAGGAAATTTCATCACTGTTTGATATTTCTGAAAAAGAACTCAAGCGTTATGCATTTTATAATAACAAAAAATACTATTGCCAATTTCCAGAATGCGAAAATAGTTATTATAAACCACCTCAATGCAGAAGACCAAATGTAATTTGTGCTACACTGCTTTCTGATTATTCAGGTAATGCACATTGTTTTAATTAATAAAAATTATTATTCACAAAAATATACTTAACAAATCAAAATCTTAGTATAATTGAAACTAAAGTAAATTTTATATTTAAGTGATACAAAGCATAAACTTGCTTTTTAAAAAATAATATATATATGTACAAATTATATAAATAAAAAATGCTAAAGATGGCATAAATTAAATATGGTATCTCAAGTTAATGTTGAAAGCCTAAAAATCAATCTATGCATCAACAAATAAAATTTTTTTTTGTTGATGTATGTGTTGTTATACAGTAATTAAACTTATAAACTTTTTAAAAACTTAAATTACTGTTTAAAAAACTAAAGTAAAAAAATTTTTATCCATATAAAATAACATGGGTGAAAAAAATCTTGAATATATCTATTTAGATAAAATAATGGTAACATAAGTATCTAGATGTTTCTGTGTACATAACTAAATTTCTTTATTTTTGACAATGGGTGAACAATTTAGCTGTACTGGTTATTAAAGAGAGGAAAATCAATATAAGTAAGAAATAAAATGATTCTGATTAAATAGAAGTTAGTAAGTGAATTTATTTCTAAATTCACTTACTAATGTTAGGAAATTATCTATATTAACATATAGTTTTTATAAAATAAAAAATATAAAATATATA